GGGCACAAAGCCCTCTGTTAGCTAAGGTGGATTCAAATTTGTCCCCTTAGACAAATATCAACCCCGGTCTACAAGGTCCCCTTGGACGAAGCAACCCATGGTTGCCGACAAGGATCCTTCTGTCAGGTTGGGTCGACTACCTCCTCTGACTAAGTAGACCAGGGACCATGATGGCCCGGGACGACGGAACCATGGGATCTTGATCGGGTCCATCATCCATTCCCCCACCATCCGCTTTAAGTGCTAGATTGTGCAATTTCTATTTTAAATATCAAACCTTTCAAATTTCCAAACTTTCAATCCAAAATCCAAAAACCCAACTCTTCAATTCCCAAATCCAAACCTCCAATCCCAAATCCATTGCTGCTACTATATGCCAGATAACACGTATATTCTTCGTATCTGATTGATGACTAGCCTTAATCGAAAGTTCTCTCTCGTGATCGAGAGGGGTAATTAACTATAGGGGCTTGCGCCTATAGGAAACCAGAACTCAGATCATAAAGTCCTCGCAAAATGAGGGCGAAATCTCTGGGTAGTGTCTTATCTACAAACCCATCTGCCTTCCAAAATTTACCTCGGAACTTATCAGTTAAAACTCCCTCGCTCAGATAAAAAAAGAAATCGCGCGGCGGGGAGTCCGGGGCCGAATTTTCGGAGCCCACAATTTCTATGATGTGTTTTATTCTATTTATATCTGCTAAAAGTGTTGATGATTTTGCATTTATGTGATTGAACATGTGTGAAAGAAGAATATGTTGATGGTTGTTTATTGATGCTGATGTGCATCCACCTAAAGGTATAAGAGCCTAATTCTGAATGAATGAATGGTACTATAAATTGTGAGTCATAACTCATAAGGGTTTAACATTGTTGTGCCATGCACTCGGAGTTATAAGGGTCTGATACTAATATGTTGTGCACAGAAAGTCATAAAGGACTTATTTTGTACATGTTCTGATTCTGAGAAATGTTTTGAGAGGCATAAGCGCATAAGGGCCTAAGGGGGAGCTGATCTAATCTGATATGATTGGAGATTGATGAACAACGCTTATTTTTGTTATCTTTGAATGTGTGTTATTTTATATTCTGATTGAATGGTTATGTTGACACTGAATTGAGAATTAGTTAAACTTATGATGGATTGATGGGCCAAACAATGTAGTTAGTAACGCCATTTTAAACCTTATATTGAATGTTTCTATATGAATTACCTATTTCACTATTTCTGTGATGATAGAATAATAATCTATTTATTTACATTTTTGTTTATTACTAAGAATTTGAATGGATTATGTGTAGCCTACTAAGCCATGGTTTGCTCATACATGTTTTCCTGCATGTGTTAATTTCAGACAAAGGAAAGAAAAGGGGCAGGTTGAGTAGATAGAGATTGTAGATTCAGGTGCTATTTATACTTTTCTATTAGTAGATTTCTTTAGGACAATCATGGTTTATCTCAGATGATTCTACCTATGACAATTCTATATCATGACTGCATTTCTGATAGACATTTTAACTATATAGATTTATATTATAAATGAAAATACTATGAGTTATTTTTTACAATTAAATTGATAATTAGTTGCTCTGTGTTTCTATTAATAAATGAAATTAAAAGAAATTTCTTTCAAATAGAGCTTGAGAACTGTCCTGTCATAATCTAAAACGATATGACCCATTCGATAAACGAGCTATGTCAGATTTGATTGTGAAAGGAAGACCTTATCTCAACCTCTCCCACACGATGATGGAGTCTCCTCAACAAGTTGATGTCTCCAATTAGTTGTGTGACTTGTGTCATTTGCTATCTATAGTTAGATTTCCATTTGTGCATTTTTCACTTAATTATTTAAATGCTTTCATGTTTAGGTGGTGCTAAACATAATGTATGACTACATATGCTTTTGTGTTTAGTAAATTATTATACCTGTGATTAATTGCAACAATCTCATATGTAGCAAAATAACTTTACCGCGCCATTATACCTTCATGGACATTTGTAGATTACTTTCTGATGGTTTTATGTGAATCATACTTTGCGTGGTTGAGTAGATCAATGATATTATGCTTACTAGCAACACATAAAAATACTTGCATTCATAAACCAAATCACACTTATCTGGTTGCATATGTATGATTTAATTGTTCACAAATTTGTTTGTTAATTTTAAATAGTGTAATATCTTTCACAGTGAGTTTGTCAAATGGCCATTCTTATGTTAGAATAACACATCCTGTACATCTCACCTACAGTTGGTTTTATTGTTTTGATTATATTGAACGAGCTTATTGAATTTCTCCCGCCTCTCTCCTTGGGCATTCCCTCGTATTTTAGAATTTTGAATTACAATTTTGCCATTAAGCTGCTCTTTAATTAATAATTGTAAACTTATACCTCCATGTTTAACTATGTATTTTTCATAAAAACCAACTTGATCGCCATATCATTTCAAAAACAATTTGAAGCAATGGTTCTCGCAAAAAAAAAAAAGAACCAGTGCAGAAATTTGCAAGATTACCTGCGCATAATCCAAGCAACAGTAAGAGTGGGTATGCATCTTATTCTTCTCATCACCCTCTTTAACAGGTTGCTGACCATCAGCAGTAGCAGCAACTGCAGCATTATATATTTTCACTCCCTTGGCAGTCTAAGATAATAAAGAGGGATAATAATTAGAAGTAATACTGATCTTAGGTATCTATCCACAAAGAATTAAATTCTTAACTAAGAAAATTACATTGACTGTGTAGATCTTTAGGACCAAAAATATAAAATAATAGTTCATAAGAAAGTAATCATTTTGTAAAAGAACAAGAGCTACAACATTACAAACAAGCAAAAATAAATCACATCATGACGAATAAAATAAGTTCTGCAAGATCTACACCAATGTTCAATTTTACAGTTCTCTTGATAGAACCTGGCATCGGATCTATAACTAGCTGCTAAAGACCAAAATATAAGTGTTTTTTAGACACGTACCAGAATGCCAATGATAAGCATTTCACTACTCAAAGTCATCACAAAATTGTCTTTCTAATTACTGCAAACTCTTCGAGGACCCTACATCCTCGCTTCAAGCCACATTAACACAAATTCAACCGCAATGTTTCAATTAAGAAGCAGAACAAAGGCTATGCAAGCAGAATTAAACATTGATTTGAAATTTCTCCATCAATTAAGCCCATATAAAGTCTGTTAGGAATATCTTGCGAGCATAACTACAGGGGATAACTGGGCTGAAGGAAAAGATAAACAAAGGGATAAAAAGGTGAAAAACGGTCACAATTTTCTAAAATTTATCGGTTTTATTTCAACTCTACTTTATTCATTATAGAATGTGATCCCAAGAGAATCATGCTTAAAGTGCCTACCTCATATAACTCCATGCAAAGGTAGCTTATCTCAATCATGCAAACAAAAACAAATAGCAAACAAAAAAAAACATGCATATGCAATGGCACTTATTGTTGAAAGTTAAATATTAGTCATAAATCCTACTTTTAGGTAGTTCAAGTTTCATGCAAAGAAGGAAATCATGATCTCACAAATTTATTTCAAAGAAGGTAATAAGGATCACACAGACTCATGCCAAAGAAGAAAATTAGGATTCCATAAATTCATGAAAATAAGGAAATTAAGATCGCACAGGTTCGTGGCAAAGAGGAAAACCCAAAATCTATTTTTTAATTTATATTTATTTATATAATTTCAAATATTTTCTTATTTCATTCATAGATCAATTTATATATTGTCTCGTAACAAATATCTTCTAGAATAAGAAAGAATTTTTTCCTTCCCTTGTGTCATCAAATGGTATTAAAGTCCTAGGCTCTTCTGATTAAATCTGGCCCTTCATTATCATGTTTATTCTCAGCCCTCATCGTCACACTGTTCCTTAGCCTTTATCTAATTATCTCCACATCATTACTCAGCCATCATCACCTGATGCAAATACTAAGCAGATCTTGTCGCTTGCACATCGTTGTCATCAACCTTCAAGCTATCAATAACATCTTCCCTCATCACTCTATGATTGGTGAAATGTCTTAGGTATGTGATCAACTCTAATAGTCTAATTTAGTCAAGAACGAACTTCTTTACACAATTCAATCGACATGAATTATCCGCTAATGATCAACTTCATTTCCGCATTGATTACAAAAATTGTTGAGAATCATCTCTCCATGCAACCTTCATTGTTTCATGTGCTTCCTATATCGCAGCCTTTATTTGTTGTTATACGATTCTAAGTTTTTTGGAGAGCTTCTCATGACCCCATTGAAGCCAATCAACCCACATGATGATGGACACTTGAAGTCATAAGCACGGCCAGATAAAGAAAAATACAATAAACAGGAGAATGAAAGACTCGGAGAACTACCGGAGATGATAAAGAATCCTAAATTAATGGTGCATACTCCTCAACACTCCAAGGAAAATATGACATTTCCCGTGGACTAAAAGCATTATATAATGCCACCACCAACTCCTAGATCATTGATTGAGGTGCAACATATCAAATGACACATGCATAACTTATTAAACTTTAGCACCTACATTCCTTATCCAAGTGATAGGAAAATCTCTGTTATTGACGGCTTTCTTACAATAATAGCACGATTAAGAGACATTACCAATCCACTATTTGTTTTAAGGAATACTATCCATGTTCCTAAGCTTTCTACTAATGTTACTTTCACTCAAAAACCACCAACCATATGAATTACAAAGTCACATTTTTTCGCACTCGTGTTTTTCAAGATAAGGAGATGGAGAAGATAATCGAACTTATTAAGGAAAATTAAGGGATTTACTTACTTAAAACACCAAGTCAAAGAGTGTCAAGAATAATCTTCATTATCTTTCATTTCCTCTTCAAATAAAGATATCATCTAACTTAATCATCGTCATCTTGGTCAACCTTAAGTTGGAATTTAAAAAATTAAACTTCTCTTTTTGCATTATTTGATATTAAAGGTTTCAATGATACATTTGTGAATTTGATATTAAAGGTTTCAATGATTTGATATTAAAGGTTCCTAGCTAGTAATGAAACAAGTTCTCTTCCTTTTTTATTTGATTTATAATGACATATGAGAACCCTCTATCATTCATAATCTAATAGACAATAGGCAGTTCATTTCTTTCATCAATGATTGCACTAGATTTTCTGCTTAAATCCAAATTTGACATGAGTATCATACTTTTCATATCATAATCCATAATAAATTTGGAAGAAAAATTAAAAAACAACTCTAAATCCTGGCCCTCTATTTTCAAAAAGAATGAACAATTCACAAGTCTTCATGCAAAAACACTCTTCAACTAATTGAGGTTTTAGATAAGAAAATGGTCACTTACTAACCACAACCATAACCTTATTATTCCAACACAATGTTCCAGAATCATATTAGGGAGAGAAATCCCTTACTGGCAATCACATCATAAATAAGCTGCCTTCTAAAGTTTTGGTGTTCAAAACCCAATGAAAGTACTTTCAAAGAAGTTTTACCTACAAGCTATCTACCAAAATTCTTCATTACTTAAAAGCAAATCCTAAAAAGGAACAAAATTTTGAAACTTGAAGCCAACACAAATGCTAACTATACAAGTTCACAACAAACAAGTGACCCACCATAAATACTTGATCACTCTTGGAGGCAATCTAGTTACATGAAGAGAAACGAAATTTAACAACAAAGCTTAGATCAAAATTTGAATTTAGAATAATAGAACAAGGGAAATGTGAGTTATCATGGTAAAAAAAATCTCTTTTAAGATTAAAGATTAAATGAGATGGACCTATATAAGACTCTATTGTGATAACAAGGCAACCATAAATATCACACACAATGATGTGCAACATGATAGGACTAAGCAAAGAAAAACTAAACTGTAGTTTTAATTTGTACACCATAATATCTACAAGCGATCAAAAAGCAATGCCTTCACAAAAGGACTCAATAAAGCACAATTTCAAGAGATTATAGGCAAGCTAGAAATGGAACAAATCTATTCACTACCTTGAGGAAAGTTGGAAGGCATGCATATAATACAATCTTCTTATTATTGGAACCCAAAAATTCATGCAAAGAAGAAAATTATGATCCCACGAATGCATGCCAAATAAGTGGGATGCATACAAAAAATGAAATTAAGATCCCGTATATTTCAAAGAAGAAAATTAGGATCCCTCATATTCATATGAAGAAAGAAATTGGGACCCAATGAATTGATGCTAAAAAAGAAGATCTAGAGTATGCTCTAAAATATGTATTTATTTATATAGATGCGAATAGTTTCTTATTTCATTACTAGATCAATTTATATATTATCTTGTATCAAATAACTTGTGGAATAAGAAAGAATTATTTCCTTCTCTTGAGTTCTCCGCATCAGTTAAGATAGTAAGAATACAACCATCATCAATCAGATAATAATAATGAAAATATAAAACAAAAAATTATAATTCCAATGTTCAATGGAAAGAAACAAATTAGATGACTATTGATTAGAGTGTTGTATTTCATTGAGCTTGACATTTACTAACTTAATGAGGTTGAGTAAAGCTATGGTAGGACTTAACTTAAAATAATGGGTCTACATAGATCAATTGATCAAGTTTAGCATGACTTTTAGAAATTGAGTATTTTATCCTTGGCATACAATATTTCAAAAACAAATTACTACATCAATCAAAGAGGTTAACAACAACATAACATAATGGCATTCCTCAACTAATATTGTGATGGCAATGCTTCAATATTCAACATGAATCTCAAACAAAATGCATAGGCGCTTAAATAGCATTTGCTCTATACCTTTTAACTACTAAATGTCCTTTTATTCTAGCAATTAAAATTTATTCCCTAAAATATCCCCCCCCCCTATGTAACCCAAGATTTAAAATACAAGATTTTAAGCACTAACGTCCATGAAAACCATTAAAGCATCTAATTCAATGTTTAAAATCTATATAGATTTTAAAGTAGCTCAAGTTATGGTAGCAATGGATACCAACTTGGACATGATTTTGAAAAGAATGGATCAAATTATTTATGAAATGCAACTACAAATAATTCTTCAAGAGAACGGAAGTATGAAAATGTTAAGGGTTAACGTCCATCAAATCATGACCACGATATTCTTCTGATTGTTTCAATAATGTCAACGATGGTAAAAAGTATGAAAATATCAGAAATATTCCATCAATTTGTAAAGATAAACTTCAATACTAGAAGTAAACAATGTCTTATGTCCATACACTCAGAACTAAAAGAGGCCATGGAATCCAATATCACATACATCTACAGGGTAGAACTGATATAGCTACATAAGCAAGGGTAGAACTGATATATCTACGTATGCAAGAAAAATAAACCAACTTTAAAAACTCAATCATAAGAATGTTGGATTTCAATATCCACATATCATTTTTTGTATTATATATATATATATATATATATATATATATATTTGTATTTTTTTTTTAATTTGCATATGTTTATAGATAGCGAGGGAGAAAAAAGAACACTTATAGTAACAATACACCTTAAAAAAAAGAGAAACCTAAGTTTTTAGACACATGGAATATTGAATTTTTTTCAAGATAAATTAAATTTTAAGCATGCAAGTATTCTAATGAAATAAAAATATTCAAATAATCAAAGAATTGTCATTGTCGGTTTTCTCCAATCACATAAGAAAAATGGAAAATAAAGCAAGTCTTGATGAAAAAAACAACTCTCCCGTTTGAAACTTTTCAAATGTAAAAATAAAAAAGAAAGCTCATTTCCTGTATACTATTTTTAAAAAGTTGCATTTCTTAAATCTAAATAATCAATATCTATATATCTATATGCTGTATACAAAAAGACAGAATTTTTTTTTTAATTCTTTAAAATGAAACCGAAATTTTGGAATGAATTTTTAAAAGTGTTTTATATTTAACTTGCAGATTTTTAAATACCATTTTTTAACAATATTATTTTTTTTAATAAACATTTGACTAAGCAATACATTAAATCCAATCTCATCCTAATTGGTCAATCTACTGTCAGCAACCAATGTTATTGAACAAATTTACTCTATCCTTTTATAAATAATTAAATACTAATAAAATGCAATTACAAAAATAATCATTATAATTGTCAAAAATATATAAAACCTTCATCTTTTTTATAATTTAGAAATCATGATGTAAATTTACCCAAGCAAGTTGAATTGAATATAATTCCAACAAACACAAACCATTAATGAGGATACTATAGTAGTCCTTTTGGTGGAGTCAACCAAGACAATTTTTTCACTATCTTATTCAACAAACTAAATATTCCTTATAAAAACAATTTTTAATCATTTTTAAAATCCTGCATCGCATTGAATTTCTTTCCTGTCATGAAGTATTAAGTGTCACAAATAACAATAAATGCTGCGAGTGTACAGATAGCAAGGAAAGGGCTTACCTCTTTCCTGTGTTCTCTCGTGACTAACTTCTCTTCTTCAAAAAACCTCAATGTCCGTCGAAGTTGTTTAGAATGCAACTTCAAAGCCTTAGCCAAATCTTCCTCTCTAACCCATTGGCGCCTACAACAAAGAAATAAAAAGAATAAGGATATTAAGCAATCAGAATTTGCAATTCAGCATACAATACAGTAAAATGAGCCCCTCTTCGCAGAGGATATACTATGAATCGAAGAAGCATAATTATATAACAGAAACACATCAAATTAAAAACTCTAACATCATGTTGTTCCAAATAAACTCAAGTAGTTTTGCTTTGGAAGCAGAAGGATACACAAAGCACTGACTAAATATGTTCCTGGACACAAACTTCAACAAGGAAACCTTGACAAAAGAATTAAAACTTAGAGGCATCAAAAAAGAACTTGGATCTTTGGATTTCAGGAGGATCCATCTTCCTAAGAAATACTTGCAGCAAATAGATGTCCTATACCACGTCCCAACACCCAAGAGGAATATTCCAATAATCCAGTGGCCAAATTACAGCTAAGAACATTTTTTTAAAGGCTTTTAATACAATTCATCAGTAATATTGCTGAATTAAATTTAATGTAGTAATAAAATACTTTGGGGGAAGATCGCCAATAAAGATTCACATGAAACAATTCTGACAAAAATAGGCATAATAACATGTGCGCATTTTAAAAGTTAAGATTTGAATCACAAAGCCCATTATCAGACTTTCAAATCCATGATTAAATAGTCAAGAATAATACAGCATAAACAAGTGAAGAGATCAAATGAACATTAAAAAGCTATAAAAAGTAAAATACAGCAGCCCACAGTTTGTTTTTTTCAAATTTCCATCAAGCAGTTATGTATGACATATCCTTAGACAGCACTGATTAAGAATCAATACAACACCACAATATAATCGCAATATGATATCAAATTGACTCATAAACAATGTTGTAGAATATTATGGACAAAGTCATTTTTCTGTGGCATAAACTCTCTTTCAATGAGATCATCTGCCCCAACCTAGTAAAATAGAACAAATATAGTTCCCTTGCAAGAAATTGGAGAAATGTTGATTGGTTTTTCTGACTTTTTGTTGGGTTGCAGCCTACCTTTGGTTTCCTCAATGGTTTTCATCCTTTAACAAAGGATGAATTCACTGTTACGCAACAAAACAGATAACCACAGCTGCTATACGTCTGAGACCTAGTTTGATTGGACATTTTTTGTGCTTATTCCTTTTTAAAACTGTAAATTTATTTATTCTTTATTGTTTGGCTCCTCAAACCACGTTCCCAGTAAACACTATTTTTTTTCATTTTTCTGTTGTTTTAAGAAAGCTTTTTATATATGTTTTTCCGTTAGAAAACTTCTTTCTCTGAATCGATGTTTCTTAAAACTACCTTTTACAAAAGTACCGGATAATCAAACGAAACCTCAATCTCTTTTCCAGATAGTTGCAATCAGCCGATGAAATTGTGGCATTCGCGAACTCACTGGTATGGCCAATTTTAGCGAACTATAAGGAAGAAAAAAATATTGAGGCCGGCAACTCTGCTATGGCTAGGACTTTGAGTCAAAGGTATACGGAGAAAGGAAAAGGAATAGGAAGAAAAACTACAACAACAACAACAAGCTTTTATCCCACTACATAGGATCGACTACATGAATCATTTTTATTCATTGTGTTCTATTAAAAGTAAATTTCTCATTTAAATCTAATAAAAAAGACATTTCTAATACTTTCTAACCAACTCTTTAGATACTCCTCTACCTTCATTAACATAGGCCGGATCTTATATATCTACTCTCCTAATAGGGTCATTGAAAGGCCAACATTTTCTGTTACCAAACTATCTAAGGTTTAATACTATTTGCCACTTGAGCTATTCCAACCTTTTCACATATGTACATGTTTCGCATTCTGTAAGACTAATGCCAATTAAATGTTTCCCTTGCTTCCCATTGCTCTTAAGGCCTAGTTACAAGAAAGATTTATGGCTAACTAATTCCGAAATGAAGATATAAAAAAATACATAAAAATCTAGATCTGGCCAGTGGCCTCCAAACAATTAATATAAGAAAATTCCTATCCAAACTTGATAAGCTGTTTAATAAGACATTATCTTAAAGCTAATCATTTTTATTGATAATTAAAATGAAAAAAGAAACCTACAATAACAACAACAACAACATCAAGCCTTCATCCCCACTACGTGGGGTCGGCTACATGAATTTTTTTCTCTATTGTGTTTAAGAGTCAAATTTTCATTTAAATTTAATAAAGAAAGGTTATTTCTTATATTTTCTAACCAAGTCTTTTTAGGTATACATCTACCTTTCTTAACATAAGCTAAATCTAATACATCTACTCTCCTAACCGGGACATCGGAAGGCCGCAGTTTTATGTGACCAAAAGTATCTAAGGTGACTCTCTCTAATCTTATATGCCATTGAAGCTACTCCAACCTTCACACACACACACATACACACACACACACACACATAAGGATGCTCAAGTGGATGAGTGACTTTACTTTTAGAGGCACACACACACACACACATATATATATATATATATATATATATATATATATATGCTTGTTTCGTATCCTACCTCTAAAAGTAAAGTCACTCATCCACTTGAGCATCCTTATCTTTGCAACACTCAACTTAATATTAAGCTTCTCTTTTAATGACTAAAATTTTGGGCCATAAAGATTTGTAGGTCTCATCACCATCTTACAGTATTTTCCCTTAATTTTGAAGGGTACTCCACTATCACACAACAAGCCCGATACATTCCTCTAGTTCAACTATCCAACTTGAATTCTACTAATGATATCCCCATCCATTTCACCATCAATCTAAACAATAGACCCAACATATCTAAAACATGTACTCACATTAATGATTTGATAGCTCAAAGTCACAATTCCCTCACTAGATCTATTACTACTACAATTACAATCCATATATTCAGTTTTAGATCTACTCAAATGAAAACCTTTATACTCTGAGGCTGACCTCTGTAATTCAAATTTACCTTCAACTCCCTCTCTAGTCTTATCAACAAGAAGAATATCATCAGCAAAAAGCATACACCAGGTTACATCCTCTTGCAAATGTTTAGTAAGAATATCATGACTAAAGCAAAAGGATATGGGCTTAAGGCTGATCCTTGATGTAATCCAACTAAAATAGGAAAATACTTGGTCAAACCACCTTGTTTTTGAACACAAGTAACACCACCTGCATATACATCCTTAAGCTTCTTATTTTTTGTCTTTTCTTGTACATTTTGATTCCACTACCAACTATTTTTATTATTAGAAGTTTTTCCTTTTGAAACTCCAAGCATATCCTTTAACAACAATCTTAATATTACTAGCTATTTTTTCCCACATGACATTCGCTTCCTCATACACAAACAAAACCTTAAGATATTGAATCTTATTTTTATTGGTGTTTTTTAAATGCCCTCATCTAATCTTAAAACAATATTTTAATATATTTTTCATATTCTGCCCCTTTATTTTAAAGTTCAAAACTAATAAACGATGTTGAGTACTTAAATTTTCATTCAGAATAACTTTACAATCTTTGCAATCTGAACGATCTATTTTTCTTAAGAAAATAATCAATTTGAGTTTTACTATATCCATTTTTATAAATGAGGAGATGCTTATCTCTTTTTCTTAAATAAAGTATTTGCAATAACAAAATCATAAAATCATAGGCTAGAGTAAAATCTAATATAGTCTAACTACATTCATTAGTCGCTCCAAACTCATAGCCACCATGGATACTTTTAAAATTATATACCTCTCAACCAACATGTCCATTTAAATCTCCTCCAATAAAAACTCTTTTTTCAAGAGGAATCTTTTGAATTAATTCTTCTAAGTCATTTCAGAATTTAAATTTTAAATATGACGTATTAAAAGATTCATGTCATAATTCTATCTTCGATTCTATAAATTTATATCCTTAAAAGCATCTACCTCTCTACCAACCTACATAAGGAGCACAAGAACGTATAATCTTAATAATCTTAGCATCAACAATAATCTTCAAAGCTATAATTCTATCTTCAATTCTATCAATTTTTATAATATTATCCTTCAAACTCTTATATATAATTGCATCTACACCATTTCTAGTACGACTTCTACTAAAATACCGAAGTTTAAATCATAAACTATCAACCTCCTTAGCCTTCTTTCCAACTCATTTAGTTTCCTAAATGCATAAAATAGTTATCTTCATATAAATCATTATATCAATTAATTCCATTAATTTGCCTAAAAGAGAACCTACATTTCAAGATCATATTCGAATTCTAATTTCATAGACTAGCTTCTTTGCTCACATCTGTCCATGATGTGGGAACACTTGCCAATTTAACAAAGCACTCAGGCGACAATGTAGTGGCCCTTACACATTTCTCGTTGTATTCAGGTCATACAGCGCGTCAATTCCCGAGAACGCCCTAGCATTAACACAATGTATTAAAGACTTCGTGTCATGATTATCTGACAAACTTTACGCTGGTTGTCGACTACGTAACGCCCCCTCCACCTTTCTCATACAGGACCTGGGACATGGCAATGGCAGTGTTTAATATGTAACAAAATATTTTGTGGAATTATTATCCATCATTTGGGTAGCTAAAAGAGAGAGAGAACCTTTATAAAGTGAATTCTAGAGAACTGCCCTAAATTATTTTATTTCTTCGTCATTGATTGGTTGACCAAACCTATCGGGGATTTAGCCTAAATTTATACAAGATTTTCTACTTGGCTTTGAAAGTGAATTTTGAACTTACCCAAACTCCTTCAATATGGATCATAAATCCTAATTGTATGGCTTGAATTATGGAGTTAGTTTCGACTTCTCCAAAAGTTAAATAAACTTCAATTTAGGCATACTCATTGATTTGGGTGAAAATTATGTCAAATTTTCATATTTTTGATATTTTAGACACATTTAACATGAATTAAGGTCTCCTCTAAATAGGCCCCCTTGCTTATTTTATGCCTATATGGAGCTTATTGGCCCTAATTTGAGAATGGCTAAATATCATATTTTATTTGCTCACTCAATTCAGTCCATATTACACTGAATTTGAGTTTATATAGCGTATTAGATCACAACTCTCGCTCATTTCCCCTTGCAAAGACCATTAATCAGAAAGCAAATGGAATATATGTTTGACCCTTCAAGAATATAGTCAGCTCAACAAAAGACAACTTTTTAGTGTAGATGACCCATGAATTGTGATTGGACCACTTAATGTGTCCAGCCCAAGCGTAAGTAATCATCTATGTTATTATTGATGAACCGTTGGTACTAATAGATACACCTAATAATGATGTTGGACCAAGTTCCTTCAAAAATGAATGACCCATAGTAACATACCAATGAACCTTAACAACCAAATTTTGAGCTGAAATAGTACATTGTTATTCAAATATAATTTTGTTGCCTTCAGCTGGTGTAAATGGCTTATTATTGCAAATTGGAACCATTCTTGAGTGATAGTAATAGTTGGCACTCCACGACATCACATGAGATCTTTGGCTTGATCTACTTGAATAGCCCTTTACAAGAAAATTTTGAACCTATAAAAGTATATTAATAAAAAATTCACATTCTTACCCTTGCTTGGCAGTTATCTCCTTCTCATTATATGTTGCTCACTTATAGTTTCTTGTAGGATCTATATCTCTTCTTAACACAACAATTAATCAATTTCTTTTGCCAAAATCAATTTTTTTCTCCTGGGTACTTGCTGAGTCCTAAGTATACTCACATTGTGATGCTCTCTGATACTCATCCTATCCTTCTGAGAAATAGGGTGGCCAACGGATTTTATGCTTAGGTGGAACTCTTAGAATCTTTTTATAAGACAATTGAGCAAGCATCTTTTTTATCATTAATCATTTCCAATCTCTCATCATCACTTTGATAACCAATGATTTAGGTGCCTATGGATGGAAGCAATGCACATGGATACTAACCTAAACTTGAATTTATCAAAAACCACACTACAATCATATTAAGCTATCAAATTGACTCAAAAATTATGTTATGTAAGACTTCTCTATATCTTAGGCTTTCTTCAAGAGACATGCAAAGATCTAGAATTTCCTACGAGATTAAATGCAAAAACCACAATTAGTAGTGAGTTATAGAATAATCACAATTAGAAGTGAGTTTTAGAATAATCTCATAGGGCCCACTGGGCCACTGCTAATACTTTGTGGGCATGCACTCCTAGATTATGTAGAACAAGGGAGAGATTGAGTTATTTTCTCTCCAATCATCACTTTTCATTCTCAATTTTTGGGTTTTTTTATACTGAATTATTAATTAATGTTTTCTTGTAATTTAACATTCAAGTATTAAACTTATGCTAAACTATCAACACTGTATTTAAACTATTGTTTATTATTTCACATTGTAAAGGTAGATTGGTCTTTATTATAGCTTGGTATAGCATTACAGTTATATTTTTTTGCAAACTCTTTTCTGGTGGTGTTTTGCATGCATACTCAACTTCAAGTTTATTTTATAACTTGGAGGTTTTGCCACCATCAATTTAAGATGAACCTCAACTAAACCAGCTTATATTTTAGACAACCATATGCCTTAACCCCACATAAGGCTTAAGCTTAACATAAATTGGCTTAGCTTAACATAAGTTTCAACCAAAAAAGAGGTCAGATTACACATAATATAGAATCCTATAGGTGAAAGTAATGCGCTCTGATACCAATGTAATAACTCAAATTTTAATTGATTAATGAACTTTTAATAACCTAAATTGAAATTGATTAGAAAATCTTACATACAAGGAAATCTGGCTGGGAGCATTGCAACACTATTATGGCGAGGACAGCGACACTGGCCTCTCTGTGTAGATGATTTTGTGTGAGCAAGTGCGGCAGTGCTAGGCTTTGGCGCAGTGGCGCTGATTCTTCTATTCTATAGTGTTTTGGGGCAGCACTACAGGGTTCTGGTATCGAGTGTTGCGGCACCTAGTTAGAAAATTTATTTTTTAAAATATTTATTTTCATTATCTCATTTAAGTATTCCCTAAGCCATCCCCAAACCCCCGTTCACATGTCCTTGGTCGAGGAAGGAAGGAGAGAAGAGCGGGAGAGAGGAGAGAGGGAAGAGAGAAGTTTTACTTCGAGGCATTTATGTTCATTCTTTCCAATTAACAAAGTTGCTCTGATCGTGGTAGATACTCCAAATCCTACTTCTATTTTCAATAATTTTAATTCCGAGTTTTTCTCTATAATATGCCTGAAATGCATTATCTCACGATTTAGCGAATTTTTATCCATGTAACTTTTGATATGCCATATATATCCTCATTCAGCACATTTTGACATGATTAATTGATATTTGCATATTTAGCAAGTTAAAAAGAATAGGGTCACACACGAAATAAATTAGGATTATTACATCTATTCCAACAGGTCTAATAAGACATGCATCTGATAAAGTTTATATGGCATGGCATGCATATTGACATGAGTTCATTGGTAGGAAACGAATATTGATAGTATAGTACTAAAATAATCTACATGTTAATTGTACTAGATACATACATGATACAAGATACAAGTTATTATAATTGGTGAATATATAATATGGCATGTGTGTATAGCTGCAAGAAATGCTAGCTAGTTATTAACCGATTCAAGCTGGCCAGAGCAAGATGCCTTGTACAGGAGGATAAGCCGATGAGCTTTTTTTTTTTAATTAATGAGTTTGTAGTGTAATCCTAAAACTATATACAATATATAAGATGGGAGTCATAAGGGTACAAGATACGCCGACAGACAAGATTGAAGACTTTTACAAAAAGCCACCTGAATATAACAAAGACAATAACATGATATGACAAGATACGGGAAAATATCATATAACCTGACAATGCAAATGACAATAACATGATATGATAAGATACAAGAAAATTTCATATGATTAGTCAGACATCCTATCTTGTATGAATTTTTTTATATATATCTTGCATGAATATGATAATACATGCATATGACATGATTTCATATGATTAAATATGACATGCATAAGTTATATAGTATGCATGATACATGAACTGGATATGTGTTAAGATTGATACAGGTACAAGATACATGATACTGAAATATGATACATACTACATGATAGATAATACATGGCACTTATATATGATATTGATATATATATATATATATAACACATGATACATCTGAATCAACATGACATGATGTGCATAATAATTGAGACATTGATACATGAGGCTATAAGATAGATACACTACTATTCATGACAAGGCATAAAAATGACTTACATGTATGGACAAATGATAGAGAACAAATATGATTACATTGATTCATATGATAGTCTTTCCTCTAGCACTTCCCATGATACACTAGAATAGGACTAATTCAAGGATTACTGATACATCTCATAAGTCATAATTATTGCTCATATTTATTGGTACTATTTACATTAATCAATATTGTTCATATTGATATGCTACTATATATATATATATATTGATATTCTATGAAATAAAAAGAAATAATATTTTCACTACATTATTCTAGTATATGAATGTCATTGGTGACTCAACTATATAATTAAAAGATTAAAATAGATAATTCTTCCTGATTATATTATGAGGTGTGATAACCAACATGACCCAAAATCAATTGAAAACAACAATACAGTCATATTATGATATCAAATTTACTCAAAAATAATACTATGGAATGTTGTGGAACCAATAGGATTTTTCAATGACTTAGGCTTCCCTTGAGATGCACTCAAAGATTTATGATTGCCTATGAGATTAAATGCAATAATTCTAAAAATAAAACCAAGAGAGAATGGATCCTTGGAAAGGATTTGGAGAATAATTGGTTGTTTCCACCTCCTTGTTGCCTAATTTACTACCTTCAATTTCCTCTTAGTCTCAGCCTTTAATACTGAATTAATTCACTATTACAGAATAATAAAAGAATGAACAACATCATAGAGCTCAATTCCTTTCCAGATGGATACAACCAATAGTTGAAATAACAATAGCACTAAATTATCTATCCTGGCTGATACTAGTGAACAGAATTTGAGGATATTGGCATATAGATTTTGCCTGAGACTAAAAACTAACACCAACTAAATTGAAATGTGTTCCACTTGGTTTCTATTTATCTTAAAGCCTAGTTATAAATTTTATTTATGGCCATCTAATTGCCAAATTAAAAAAATCAAATAATTAAATTAAAATTCAAATGTATCCCACAAATAGGAATGAAGAGATAGTTCCTATCCATTGTACGAAATGCAATCATAAGGCAAATCCTTATCTAAATGCTTTTCATTTGTATCGATAATTAAATGAAATTAAATATAAGAATATTCCTCGGAATTATTTTCCTTAATTTGGGCACCTATGAGAGAGAATGATCTTTATGAAGTGAATTATGAATGGTTATTATGACTTCCTTAATTTCTTCGTCTATGATTATAATTTTTTGGCTTATCTAAATTCTTTAAATATTGACAACAAGTCTTACTTGTATGGCTTGAATAGTAGAGTTAGTTTTGACCTTTCAAAGAACCTTTCAAAAGTGATGCATAAACCATCAAAAGACAATTTATTTGATCAATAACCAACCAGCAGGCAGCCTATATGAATATAGCTGAAGAGAAATTTACACATCACATATCCTCTACTTGTAACAAGAACTATTCAGAAATATTATTAATGCAATAACCAGCAATATGTGGTTGTCTCCACAATTTATGCATTTGAATGCAGCAACAACAACAACATCAAAACTTTATCCCACTATCGGGTCGGCTACGTGAATCTTTTTTCTCCATTGTATATTAAAATCGAATTCCCATTTAAATCTAATAAAAAAAAATCATTCCTAATATTTTATAAAAGTCTTTTTAGGTCTACCTCTACCTTTCTTGTTATAAGTCAAATCTACTACATCTGCTGTCCTAACCGGGTCATTGAAAATCTTTTAGTCCTTGAACAGGAGACCGAATCTATACCTGGTGAGCGCATCAAGGACAACCACTGTCATTCCCCTGTTATCGCCCCTCCCGGTCTTTGGTTGGTTATCGCCCTTCATGGTAATGTCATCGTAGAAGGCCCGAGCCGCGAGCCTCACCAGCCTGACCAACATCAGAAGCCAGAGATTCTAGTCAGAAGAAATCGAGAGAAACGCATAACCATAAGCAGCTGAAATAAAGAAGAATGATGCTCGGGGAAGAAAAGAACGGGGAAGCCTCAAATTAATAACGATTCATACCTGTTGAAGGGCTCAAAACTACTCATAATGTAAGACGGAATGAGGAGGCAATCTTTCAAGAAGGATTTAACCTAAATTCTGCTAAACAACAAAAATGAAAAATGACTGTCCGGCAGAATCTTAAACCCCGTTCCCCCCCCGCCGTATCTTGTATCCCGGATAAACCAAATTAGGGCACTGGGCGGATGTAACTCTCCTTCACCGGCCACTGATCCCGTCGATTCCCTCCCAACGAGAACGCGCCGCCACTTTTCTCCGCTTCTTTGTCGTCCACGGTTTCGCGAATGGTACGACCGTACTAGGATTAGGGAGAGATGGCATGATTCAACGGTTGGGAATTTCCCATTCAAGTTTATATAGAATCCTTAATTTATTGTTTTGTTTTATTTTGATATTGTTTAAATTATTAATATTTTATATTAATTAAATAAGATGCATTAATAATTAAAAATAAATTATTTATATATATATATGGTTTAAAGTCTTAATTTTGCATAAAAATTCAATACAAATGCATATGTCGGAGAAGTGCATGAACTATAGAGGCACCAAAAATTTTATGAGGAAAATTGAGGAGATGGAAAACCATGAGATTTGGCCCAATTAAAATGATTATATTAATGTTTATCATCAATTTCAAATAACTCCTTTCTCATGAGAAAATATTGATTTAATGTAGTAAACCAACAATATATAAACACGTGGCAGATTAAAAAGAACCCTGTGAAATAAGAGTTGTCTTTAATTATTCATTTATTTGTTTAGTTGTATTCCTCTAGCAAGATTTGAATAGAGAACATGATGTCCAACATAAATCGCATTGTTGACATCAAGAATCAAAGTTGGTGTTGATAGCTTGCATCAATTTTATAATGTTATGTTATATGTTGAAATTGTTAGCGATGGTAGGTGATAAAGTCAATAGGTGTTGGAGTAGCCTAGTGATAATGATTAGGAGATTGTAGGTCAAAGGGACTTGGTCGGGTGATGATGTTCCAAAAGACTATAGTTAATGATGAAGGTAGGAGGATCGTAGTTGGGCGACGGTAGTCGAAAGATTATAGTGGCGTGACAATGCTTAGGATTATAGTTGGGTGATGATGGTCAAAATGATTTTTCATGACTAAACCTGATATAACCTATACACTCTATTGGATCATACCAAGTCAAGTGCATGACCAATCAATTACCCATAATCTTTTATTGAAGAGAATTTTTTTTATCATTTTAATTCACATACAAAGCAATAAAATCTATCAATACTTGAAATAAAATATCATCCATAATTTATAAACATTCATGTCTATTCATCTCAAAATATATGTACAATAACCGTGATTTATCATCAATTTCTCATATTCATTTTTATCATGATCACAAAAAAAATTTATCTATCACATAAAAGAGAGTATCAATACTGCAAAAATTCTCATTTTATCTACTCTGCTAATGCTTTAGTCTTCCCTAAAACATATTAAACAAATAGAATGAGCATACAGCTAAGTAGGTCACACAAAACCTATAACTCTATCCAATGCAAATAAAGTAGATGATCAATACACATTATGAAACTCCTAAATATTCTTATAAGAATTTTTTATCTTGAATAATCAATATTTATTTCAGGAGTCATCTTAAGTCCAAATCACAAACCATCTTCACCAAATCATTTATAGTGTTGTGTTTAATTAGCTTCTCTAATTTTTTCAGATTTTTTTGGCACTATTAAAATTTTTTAAGAAATCTGCACTTATCGATATAAGAGGGGTTTTTTGGAACCGTCAAGTATCCGTTTTGCAAACCAAATTCACAAGAATTTTTTAAATAAAATAAGTTACTTTATGAATATTTTTTTTATAATTTTTAGAATCCCTAAAAGAATTTTTATGAATTTTCTCTTAAAAATTAATTATAATAATATTATTATATATTATTTAATTAAAAAAAGAAAAATATCTAAAGACATTATGAATTTATTTAAATGGCAAGCATTTTTTCAAAAAAGCAAATGGCAACAGAGCTTTGGAAAAAAAAAAAGAGAAAGAGAGGTGAGAGAAAAGAAAATTTTGGTTTTTGGGGGACTTCGGGACTTTTTCGTGTGTCTACTCAGTTGAAAAACTTGTTCTTTTCAAAGTAAGTAACATTATGCTCGTCTCTATTTTCAAAAATACATAGTTTTTGGCAATTTTTTTATTAAAATTTTGTATCTATTAGCAAAAATGGGGATAACTTTGCACAGGTAAAACTTTCACTGCATAACTTTTTATATGTAATAAAGATTATAATTATGCACATTTCGAATATTTTTTTAAAAAATTTACATCATGGTTTTGAAATTTACAGGGTTTTAGTGAATAGAAAATTATTTGAATGTTGAAAAATAATGTATTACAATACAAGTTTTAAAACATCATTTATATGATCCTTGATAATTTGATAAGTTTTCTGAAAATGTGCATTCTTGCCTAGTTGGATTTTATATTGTCAACCGTTATACAATACTGAAATTTTGATACATGCTCAATTACTCTTTAATTGTTATGAAATGATGATATATGTGCATATGTAATTAAATTATATCTATTGAGAGCGATAAATTATTAAAATCCTTTGAGATTCTATTTGTGTCAAGGAATTACTTGGAGATAAGGGCCCAAAATCATTTGAGATTATGTCTGAGATAAAGATGCATGATATGTTATGGTGTTATAAGCACAAATGAAAAGGGAATCATAAGGGACCATAATTCTTTGATATTCTATTTAGATTTGAGAGATATGATATAAACTACTCTATGATATGAATTTTAATTAATTTATTTATTCAATATTGTTAATTGCATAACTATTATGCATTTATTACATCTCTCAATATAGTAATTTATTTATTAAAATTGCTTTTAACTTATTTTTAATATTTAACAAAATATTTAATAAAAAAAAATTAAAATTTTAGATTGGTTTGTGTGGCTTAATGAGTTTTTATAGCTCGCTGTGATTTTGCTTTTGACTTTCAGGATCTGGGAAGGAAAAAGAGATTGTCGACTAGTAATTTATGATGAGATTTGAGGTCATAGGTATTTTGTATAGTCATGACAAGTTAAATTTCCAATTATATGGTTATTGTATGTAGCCATATATATATATATATATATATCAATTATATGTATTGTATTATCATATCATATATATCATTAATTATATCATGTTCATGTGTATCAATATTATGATTCAAATCACACTGGGGCATCATTACAATGTATATGTCAATGATATGGATCATATCATATTGGGAGCATTATTAAGTATGCAGAATATGAATCATGTAATACCATCATGTATATGATTGCGAAATACAAAATAAAGCTATTAGAATGATCATGTGTTATTATGGGTATCATATCATTATCATGTATGCTAATGATATGTGTCATATAAATGCCAATCATATGCAGGGCATAACAAATAAAAAAATCATGTATCATCATAAGTTGTGTTTTTTACATTATTATATCAGAATATTACATCTGTACATCGTTAATTCAAATATATATTATCAGTAAGTCAAGATTCTAGTTACTCATATAATATCAGTCATAAGATTATACAATATCACCTACCTTATAATATCAATCATATCACATCTTATTCATCTCAGTCATAGTCAAGTGGCTTTATATAGGGCTTATCACTCCAACGAGTCGTATCTTGTCCCCTTATGCCTCCCATCATAATATATATCATGTAATTAAAAAAAAAAACTTGTCGGCTGATAAGTGTAAATTATGTTATATTTAATGTGTTAATTTATTAGTAAAAAAATATTATTTTAGTTGTATTTGTGCATAAAAATATAAAAAATGAGAATATCTTCAACTATTGGTACAACACAGCGGCCTCGAACACAATACCGTCGCGATACCATTATTGACATCTTCAAAGCACCAAAATATGGACATGACAATGTCTAGTCTCTATTTAGGCAGCGCTGCAGCACCGGTGGAGTTATCACTGTCAAGTCAAGGAAGTGGCACATGGACGCCACAATGTTCAATCGTCAGCATCGTCATAGTGTTACAATTATAAATGTTTAAGACATGTTCTGCCAGTGAAGCGACATGTCAACTCATTAAACAGTGGGTCGATGCCAGTAAGCACTGTAGTGGAGGAATCCCTTCATCCATGCAGTATTAGTTTATTTTATAAGCGTCGTGGCACAAGTATCTAGAGCATCGCAGCACCAAAATCTGATTTGTGTGTTTTTCTATAAATAACACATTTGAAATGTTTGTAAGCGAGTTCATTCACTTAATAAAAGCCATACTTTAGAGTTCTGAAATTTTCTTAGTTCTCAATCTTTAGGAGTGACAACTAAGGAAAATTAAGGAACAATAGATCCACTTCATTATAGTATTTGGTCAATGTTTGTGGAAGTTAATTTTAGTATTTAGATGTTTTAGTAACTCTATAGTCTATAGTTTATTTTAATGAATATTGGAAGAAAGTTTAAAATAATTCCAAAACTAGATCTTAGGATTTGCCTATTACAACTCAACACGATATGACATGTCTTGATCAAGTTGGATTGTGACACACATGTTGTTATCAATGTAATCATAACCAATGCTAAATTAATAATATTTTTTGCTTATGTATTATATTCATATATATCAATGTTGTGTATATGATTAAATTCAAGTATTATATATATCAGATATATCATTATATCATGTTCATGTGTATCAATATTATGATTCAAATCACACTAGGGCATCATTACAATGTATCTGTCAATGTTATGGATCATATCATATTGGGAGCATTATTGAGTATGCAGAATAGAAATCTTGTAATACCATCATGTATATGATTGTGAAATACAAAATAAAGCTATTAGAATGATCATGTGTTATTATGGGTATCATATCATTATCGTGTATGCTAATGATATGTGTCATATAAATGTCAATCATATGCAGGGCATAACAAATAAAAAAATCATGTATCATCATAAGTTGTGTTTTTTACATTGTCATATAAGAATATTACATCTATACATTTTTAATTCAAATATATATATATATTATTAGTAAGTCAAGATTCTAGTTAATCATATAATATCAATTATATGATTATACAATATCACCTACCTTATAATATCAATCATATCACATCTTATTCATCTCAGTCATAGTCAAGTGGCTTTATATAGGGCTTATCACTCCAACGAGTCGTATATTGTCCCTTTATGCCTCCCATCATAATATATATCATGTAAATTTTTTTTAAAAAAAAACTTGTCGGCTGATAAGTTTAAATAA